TCACGTGTATGTTCGGACAGATTTAGGTGATAAGGTTAAGAAATGTAAATGTTTATCCTTCAGGCTTAGCATGTAGTTCCAACTTCCAGGAAAACTCTGGAGTAAATTCCCTGATGCCCCATGTTTGTGCTCTGCTTGCAGAGCTTGGCATGTTCCATGTCATAGTGTTTGTAGGAAGTGTGTTTGTTGGATCAGTATTTCACTGTTGCAGTCTTGAAAAAAGAATGAGGGTGATTCATGAGCTGAGAATACTGCTGTATGTATAGGGAAAAACCAAAATCAAACCTTTGTAATCAATCCAACTAGAAAAAAGTGCTCTCTGTATTGGTATGTCTTAGGTGAGGCTGTAAGGCAGGGAAAGAAAAACCTTTAATTCAGGCAAGCTTTTTTCAAAGCTGAATAATCTGAGAATATTTGGGCTTTTTTTCAGAGTACATAGAGTCCCCAGACAGATGCAGACATCAACTTCTTCCAAAAGCCCAATATGGTTATGCCACTGCGCTGTGCTGAAATAGATTGCAGAGGTTATTTAGTGGGGATTCCCACTTGGGTGTTTATGGGAAGAAATGACCTAGTGCTGGGTCATGGCAGGTGAAAATGCATGGAGCACAATCGGGGCTGGAAAAGAGAAACCTCTTTCACAGATGGGGAAATGTACAGATAATTTAGGCTACAGATTTTGACTTAGGACACTTGAAATATTTCAGAGAACTTTACACAGCATGTTCCTTAGAGCGGAGTGATATCCTCATGTTTCTAGGACTTTTCACTGTCATCTCACTTGGCACTGAGCAAGAGATCCAGTCTTAAAACAATTAATTGACTTGGTTTAAGCAGGTAACACATGGAGACAAATGGTAGATTTACAAAGGAAGGTGAGTGGCAGATAGAAAGTGGATTCCGCTGTTTATTATTCTGAGAGTAAGCCAGAAAGAACAGTAAAGCCTGTTACATTTTAGAGTAGTGTCTTTTGTGTGTCTGCAAGATAAGGAAGTCAAGCCATGAGGATTTAATGTCTGTGGAATTCAGGCAAAAGGTTCCCCAAGGAGTTGGGGTATTCTGAAGACTAAGGCTGGGGGACAAGTTTTGCTGTCACCTCACAGGTCTATGTCTCCTTTAGTAGTCACCAGTGAATTTTATCACTGTTTCATCAAATTAAAAAAGAAATCAAAATATATTTTTGTTTAAAAACCATAAAAAGATTAGAGGGTTTGAAGGAAACCAGCATAGAAAGATGGAAATAACTATATTTCTCAAAAGAGGAAGGGAATGAAGGCAGAGTGTTGAGGTGAGGTATGTATGACAGGAGGATGTATGATCTGAGAAGAGGCTACACCAGGCTCACTCCGGTGGCCTTTGCTCTGCTGGCATTTACAGTCAGTGGTTCTGCTTCCCCACAGGAAACAAAGGCAAGCCTAAAAAACACAGACAACTCCAGGAGGCAGTTACTCAGCTGGCCTCAACGACACAGGGTAATTAACATAATTGGCATCTCCTTGTTTATGGTAGCTGAGGATCTGGCCAAAATAAGTGCTGTGTGTAGAACAATTGTAATGTACCTTCAATTCACAAAAAATTAGAAACACTTGTAATTGCTGGTATAGCCTGTCAATAACCAAAACAGACTCAGTCATTCATGTCTGTTTGAACTCCACCTGGAAGAAGCAATAGCAGATTTTCTGACTCAAGTATGTAAAATGAAGGCTTTTGTTTAGCCATGAAACATTTGGATGTGATAGATCACCCACACTTTGATAACACAAATAATGAAGTGGTAAAGTGCTCTTAGTACCCTACTAAGTGGTTACAATGGAAGTAAATTACCTTGGTTGAAAATTGCTTAATAGGCAACTTGAGATAGGTTTCCTTTGTTTGAGAGGTTGTTTAGGTGTTTATTGTACTGTACAGATAACAGAGTTTTGGTGAAAAGTTTTTAGCCTAAGTCAAAAGCACAAGATCAAATTTCTAGAAGAAAAAGCAGTCTGTTTCCGACAGGCTTTAATTGCATTTTGGAACAGGAAAAGGACAAAAATTATCTGTCTGCTGTTGTGTGCCAGGTTGGAGTTCACTTTGCGTGCCCAGCACTAGAAATGCATGGCTGATAAGCTGATGCACTTTTTATCTACTTTGGAGCCTGACTGACATCTCCAAACACTGTTGTATCTAAACAGCTTGAATATGTGACCTCATTCCTTAAATACCATCACTTGAACAGTTCTTGTTGCTAAAATAAAAGCAGTGGCGTTGCTGTGTTGTGAAAGCTCCCCCAGCCCTCTGACAGGTGCACAACAAACCACACCTCCATTTACTATGATAAAAAGGTTCATTTGTAGCCATTCCAGGGTACCTGCAGCGAAGGCACCGCGCGGGGTTTGTCACTCTCTTTATGTTAACCTGTGACTGGCACAGAAATTCAGGCACACAGGAAAGGACTCGGGAACAGTTCCCAAGAAAAATAATCCCAGAAAGGTGAAGTGGCTTTGTTTCGTTTTCTTAGGCTGACAAGTAGTTTAAGGACTCACTAAACTGAGGGAAGATTGGAGTTGAGCCAAGCTTTCCAGAAAAGAGGCCAGGATCAGCTTTTCCCTTTTATGCTGATTTTTAATGCTCAGAAACAAGCCCTCTGCATTGCAGGCCTGTGTCAGTACTTTGTAAATATAACTAGAGTTTTAAAAACACAAGCTATGCCCTCCATTCAAACACAACCACATGTTTTTCTGCAAACAGTGTCTGTTAAAAAAGCCTAAAATTTTCATCTCTGAAGACTATTTCTGTGGGAGAGTTGAGGTGTACATCCTCTGCAAAGTAAATAAAAAAGAAAAAATATTATTCTTTTAATAAACATACTTATTGCTTAATCCTTTTTTGTTTGGTGCTGAAAATCTCCAAACAGAAGTCACTACTTTTAATCTTTTCATCCAGTGATAGGAACTGCCATCAGAGTTAGTGTCTGGTTGTCTGTCATCTGCTTCTCAAAGCTCAGTATTGTTTTGGTAAGGGAAGACTGAGTGAAAATGACAACTGCAATTTGCATTTTAATTTACAGCAACCAGATTCACATTTACTTAGAAATAAAGGCCTTCCATGTAGCTTTGGACACCAAACCTGCGTTTGGGGGAAAAAAGGGTAAAAACTCTCATGTAACTGGTGATCACAGCAGGTTGGACGTGTCTGCAGGGGAAAGCCAACCAGTGCTGCTGACTTGCCAATTGCCTGGGCACTCCTGGTACCTGCTGGTGGGCAGGGAGGCCTCAGGTGAGCCTGAGTTTGGCACTTGGAAGGTGAGGGAGTTGCTTCTGTAGGGAAAGCACTCGGTGGCAACTCCACAAGGCTCTAAAGGTCGAGAGGAAGCAAGGGCCAATATTGAATGTGGCTGGCAACCAGGGTAACTAAGCCTCTAACGGAGTTATGTGCTTACTGTGCCTGCTGCCAGCAAAACTCCTGCCAACATCTTTTTGTAGCAGATGAAATCTATTAATTCTGCATGCGTACACAGCAGCAGAGAGGGTCTGACATCACGCTGGCCTCCATGGAACAAAACACTGACATGAGGAAGGGCAGGCACATCCCAAAGTGGCAAGGAAGTGGATTGGCAATGTTCCCAAAAAGCAAGGAGAAGCATCTCACTCCCATAAAGGCACTGGCTGTGTGCTGGTCCCTAGGGTTGAGAAGGAGCACTGTGAGATGTTGTAAAGGGAGCACAGTTTAAGGATATCTAGAGATCACAGGCATTTTCTCTACTCGTACTGCAATAATTTGCAGACTTCTTAACATTCTGCTTACAGAAGACTCAGGTGCACTGACGGTGCACAGAAGTGGCAGATGGAATCCTGGTAATGATTTTTAATTACATCTTTCTGATACTTGGCATATGAATGAAATTTAGGCTTCCTGATGGTTTTATTAGATCCATAAGTGAAAGATTTACAGACTGAAGGAAAGAGCTGAAAATAGGGCTGTGAGGAGATCCATAACGAGTGATTTAATGAAGTAGTTAATCCACTGTAGAACACAAATTGTTTTTAATTGGAAACGTTGGACAGTTTAATCTTTTTATCAAATGTTCAGAGGAAATCAAATACCCTGTTGTATAAAAAGCAGCTGGGACACAGGGAGAATGGCCCTTATATCAGTGCTCTGTAAGAGGTCAATGACAATTTTAATTGATGCTATTTCAGTTCTTGTGGTATGGCGGTAACAAGAATAGAAATATCTGAACTGCTTGTTCTTAGAAATATGTAGATGTTATCCAGGAGAATTTTCAGCTTAGAATCAAGTACAAGGATTAGATGAAATCTGCAAATACAAAAAAAATGGGTGCAGTTAAATATCAGTTTGTGAGTACATCCCATTCCATTAATTTCTGAAAAGTACATGAAGTGGCAACATTCACTTATTTTCAAAGACACAGTTAGCAGTGTGGCCAGATATTACTAAAAATGCATCTTGTACAAAACCTAGTATTACATGCTAGAAAAAAGTTTTAAAACAATTGTTTTTAAACATTTTCTTGATTTTTTTTTTTTTTAACTTTGCAAAGTCCTTTTTATGCTTCTTTCTTTGTCAGCCTGACAGCACAGCATGGTCCTACTAAATCCATCTCTTTGTTGTCATTGTTGCATACAATCCCAAACAGAAACTAAAGGAGTAGGAATATGGGCTCAAGTTGGAATAATAGAAGTATTCCCGGCTTAGTTTTACTTTTTTCAAATACACAGAGGAAGATTGCTGGATCCATTAGAGACAGTAACAAGAAACAGAATGTAACTAATTTTGAAGGTAGGGTATTTCTAAAGTTTATCTGTCAAAAGACCTACATTCATTCATTCATTAAAAAAAAAAAAAAAAAAAAGAAAATCTTTGGTCTTTGCTATGGGCTGAAAGATGTAGTAGGGCATTAGGAGATGGTTTTTGGCTCTGCACTAAACATCTGGAAGGTGGACTTTGTGAATGACACAGGGGGAGTTCGTATCAGCCCTTAGCTTGGAGTGTTGTTCTGCTGGTACTGTGCTCTTCATGTAGCCCATGTTTCACGTGGCTCATCTCAAACACCTTCAGCCTGAGTGCAGCAGCCAGGGGCTGAGCTCACACCAGGCCCCAGCAGAAGGGTTCTACTGCAGCAGCCTGAATCCATACAAGCTGAGTCTCATCCAATAGCTCATTGCTGATGAAACTTGGATCTGATTTTAGTGACAATATATATAACATGAATTCTCTAGAGGTAATCTTTACCCAGGCTGGTAAAAATTAAGAGTTGCTTCCCTTTTCCCAGAAGCAAATATACCTTTTCATGGTTTCACACATTCCTGGGGTTACCTTTTGAACATGTTTACCAATGTTATTAATGTGTAAAGCTATGTTGTGCATTCTTAGAAGGAGGTTGTTCTCCTTCCACTGCAGAGCTGTGCAGAAAACCTCTCTCTGGAGAACCAAGAGGGAGATGATTTCTCTGCCCTGCTTCATGCCCCAAAAGTGGTCCCTAATCCACAGCTCCAACTATTGCAGCAGGGCTTCATATCAGTCCTCGTGGCACTTCCAACCCTTGTGAGCACTGGGCATTGTATCAATACTGGTAACTGTGTTAAGATAATACCAACTTTCTGTGTATCCTTTGTTTCCTGCTTGCTTTCCCAGACTCTTGTTATTTTGGCTCACTTGTGTTTCTCCCTTGGTCCCAGTAGTCCCTGGGTTTGTGGCTGACCTGTCACTCCTGTACACACTCAGAAGCAGAAATGCTGAGCTGAGCAGCTGCATCTCTTCAACTGTATATTTCCAGGTCTGAACACCTTTTGCTTTTTTTTCCTCAACTCCATTGTGCTTTCAAAGTGTTAGATGTAATCCTTCCAAATAGCATTAATCACATTAAAGGTTTAATCATAGTAATGGTTTTGCTTATTACTGTTATTATACATTCAAATGTATTTTCAGCTTTTATTTGGGGGTGGGGCTTTTTGCTTAATAGTTGATTGAAGGTGCATTCTTGGTCTACAAGAAATTTAATCTGAGTGATAGTCATACATGAAGAAACTCAAATGTGTTATTATTCAATAAATGAATGTGTGTCTGTTTCAGAGTATTGTCTCAGGGTAGCGCCTTCCTATTTTTGGTATCTTTTTACAACTGGAACAGGCAGAATGGAAGGTCAGGCTATGAAGTCAGTGCTGGCCATACAGAGAGCAGTGTAATCTCTTGATTTATTTTGCACCAGATTTTAGTTCTCTTACCTTCAGATACCCATAAGCAACTGCATTTTACTGTAGTAACACTTAATACACATCCCTGAGAGAAAAATTGGTTCTCAGAAATAAATTTTGAATAAAAAGGTAAGTAGAGAAAATATAGATTAATTGTATACCTAAAATAACAGAACTGACTCAAACTGTAGATACATTCAGTGCAGCAAGGGAACCTGAAATTAGAATTTTTTTCTTTTGTTGTCTGCCTCATCTGGTTTTCTGCTTGTAATGAGGGCTTTATGCTCTTTTCTTTCTCTGTCTTCTTTTCAAATAAAACTGAATCAAACTATTAATACATTCAGTACAGCAAGGTAACCTGAAATTACACTTTTCACTGTTTTTTTGACTCATCTATTTTTGTGCTAGAAAAGGGGATTTCTTGCCCTTTCCCTTTTGTCTTCATCTGTTGCAATTTCTATATATTAGGCTCATGATTCATTTCACTCTTTTCTCCTAACTCTCTCATGTCTGGCCACAGGCCACTTTTCTAAAACCCCAGGGATACAGATTCCATTTTGTTCTGCTTTCTTCTTTCTCCACCTGCTGCTGACTGACTCTGCTTGGTTTGTCCTCCCATCCCAAAGCTTGCTCAGCGACCAGCACAGCTTCTATCCACAACTTCCATCCACAACTTCCCACCTTCCCCATTTGCCATTTCAATCTCTCTCCCATGTAACCATTGCTGAGGAGCCCCAAATCTCCCAGCTCCAGTGCTGGTTGCTCTGCTGGAGAAAATGACTTTATTCAGGCACATGGGCGGGAACTGCCAGCTCTTCTCTATGCTGGCTCTGTTAGTTGGCCAGGATTTTTGGGAGAGAAGCATACAGCTCATGACAGGGCCAGAGTTTCTGTGGAGAACACAAATACATGCAGCAATCATGTGGGTTCCTTATCCAGGTATTGCCAAACCACAAACCCACCTATCCTGTCCAATCCCATGTGATGTTGCCCTGGGTGACACAGCTACAAACACATATATCCCACACATCTGTGTGCTGCCAAGGCTCAGACAGGATTTTAGACCAAACCAATCCTGTGCTGACATGACACAACAAATGACAACGAAATTGGTCTTTGTATCATGTTGGACAGTCTTATGGTTCAGTTTCTGCTTCATGGGCAGAATGACTCCTCTGAAGTTTGCCAGTGTGGGTTAGCAGGTTCAGCAGTGCTCCCAGCTGATGGGTCTGCTCTGGCTGCCCAGTGGGGAGAAATCTGATTGGAAAATATTTGAAAAAGCCCCTGGTAGCAGAAGGTATTTATAGCCCCTCACAGCTTCAGGGGCTGACTTCGGCGCTGTGGGCTCATGGTGCTGCACTCTGTAAATCACAGATTATGGGGGCTTTGCCTTAGGAGCTTACAGCTGAGGAGGGCTCACAGGAGTGTATGCCATTACCTGTCAGAGAACAGACAGTCCCTGGATATGGAGCTAAACTTAATACTATGGGATGTTGTTCTGAGCTCTCTTTCTCAGAGCACGTATATCTTTCCTTACTTGTTCTAGACTTGTCTTGCAAATCCCAAACATCTGGAAGAGAAAACAACTACCCAAGAATGGGACGTGGAAAAGCTGACTGCTCTTTTTCCACTGACCCCTTTGGTTTGTTGTTGCCTCAGTTTTCCAAAACACCCCTACGCAACACATCTTTCATCCACCTGTTGTATTGAGCTTTGTGAACTGTGTGTAGGAGGAATTGACTTCATAACGTGCCAACATTGTGTAACACACTGAGCCTTGGTACTTGACTAGGGAGCCTGAGCACTCCAGAGAGTAAACTGGAGTTTATATAATTAGTGTCCAACAGCCAGTCTGATCAATTTGGATTTTTGGGTTCACATTTTGGATATGCATTTATCCATACATCCATATATATGCCACATACAATTATAAATGCAAAAATACTTAGACTGAAGAAATATCTATAATTTGAACTAAAATTTCTAAGCAGAGAGGAAAAAAAATCCCTAACACAATGTATTAAAACATACATATTAGTGGGAATGCAATAAAAATTTAAATATCATCCAGTTGCCATAAAATGATCTAAAACTAAACCAATGTATCATATACTGTGTATTTATATGGCAGCACCTGATTTCTTTGTCAAAGCGGTTTAAATAGTTATTGCTATTTCTGAAAAATATGAGTGCTGACATCCTATGCTATTTTTAGGAATAATATGTTTATCTTTATTTAGTTGCACTTAGATGGATGCTATATGGAGAAGTAAGAATTACCCAGTCCTGGGCTGTTTTAGTCTGGGGGAACTAAAGTTAATGGTTTGTGATGGTGCCAGTGCTGACTTTTCTGTTCTGTGGGTCAGCAGCTGGAGGTCTGGTCCATTTTGGAATCTCTTTTTGTTGCTCCCAGCTGTCTTCCCTCTTATCCCATAGTGGGATACATAAATTACTTTTACAAGTTCAGCATTCTGGAGCAGTCATAAAAGTGGATTTTAAAGGGGGAAAAAATTCTCAGATGAGGGAAGAGAGGCTGATTCTTCCAGGGTAGTAACTATCGCTCATCTCATGGAAAAGCCAGGATGGAATATTACACTCAGTTGACATAGAAAGCATATCCTTTGTGGTGCCTTACAATTATTCTTTTTTATATACTCTTGAAGAAAAAGAAAGGATACTTTGCTTCAAAGAAGCATTCAATACAGCAATTGAACATCAGTATGAAGTTCCAAGCTATAAGAAAGACTAAACCAGGTCATACGAGCAGAACATGAGGGAAGTGATGATCTGCTGAGGGGCTTTGGCTGCAAGTGGACTGAATCTGAGGATTCTGAGACAAAAATAGAAGGTGAGTATGACACTTCCATAAGTACTGCAAAGACACCACATGAGTGATCATAGGTACATTTGACCATCACATCAGATACATGAGCACCATGAAGTATCAAGAAACTGCCTAAATATAATCAGGGATCACCAGTTATTGAGCAAAATGGAGGAACTTTTAGATGTAACTAATAGGACCAAGGAGATTGTCTTCTCATCCAAGGAATGTATTTGAAATGCCAATCAATAGGCCTTTGAGTCTCTGCTTTTTACTAGGAGGCCTACAAAACAATTCTACACTGTAAGAAACACAATGTGTTAAAAGAACAAGTAAAATTGACATGAATTCTGTGGCAGCCTAAAAGGGATCATATATCTGTGTGTCTTGTTCCAGTCTAGGTAGAAAACTGCTGCTGATGTAGTGTCCAAAAACTGCTCAGGGAGATTGCCTTTACAGCCCACTGCAGAGTTGAAGAATTATTTGATTATAAGATTTACACTTCCCTGAAAGTGTTCAAGGTTGATCTTGAAACAGCTTATTCTAGTGAAAGGTATCCCTGCCTGTGAAATGTGGGGACAGGGAGGGAGAGAAATGAAATGGTCTTGAATGTCCATTCCAGCCAAAATCTTTTTATGATCCCATGATCTTATTCTTTTAAGCAACTGTCATTTACAATAATTCCGTTGAATCAATTTACTTGGATAACTCTTAAAGAAAGAGTGCTGTTCTAAATTCTGATTTTATTTTCAAAAACTTCAAGTGGGTAAAATTGAATGAGAAACAAATAACATACAACTAACTGCCTTTAAACCAAACTGATTGTTTTTTGGTTTTTTTTTTTTTTTTTTTATTATTTACCCAGGCATTTCTCCCCAGCATATGGTCAGGTTATTTCCAGGCTCATATATTAAAACTTACACTGTTTAGCAACCTGATTCTACCTGATGGAATAAATCCAGTAAATCTTAGCTAACAGCCTGTGCTGAAGTAATAATTTGAGCAGATGTTACATGTCATTCAAGTAGTTAGATTTTAGTGAAATACATTAATTTTTCTTAAGTTACAATGAGAAGAGTAAAAACCATATTTGCAGTGAAAGAAAAAGCATTGAAAATAGTTTAATGTAAGGAATACCTGCCAAACATCATGCTCTAGAAATCTGAAGAACTTTGGTTTTCTTTTAGGACTAAAGTAGCCCTGTGCCACTTCTTTTCCATGTGCTGTTTTCTCAGTATCTTTTCCTTTCATTTCTGCTCCTTCTTACAGGATATATCAGAAAGACTTTAGCCTTCAGAATTCCTTTTTTTCCCATGCCAACACTGTGGTTGCATTTAGGTAGTCTGTCACCACTGGCATGACTCACCTAGAATACATCCTGATCTACACCAGTCAGAAACTAGTTCCAAACCAGTTAAACAAGCAAATTCAAGTTTCCTATAGCTCCAGGTCTTACACTGTTTGCATCTCTATCCTGGAATACCTTCAGTTGTTCTCACATCTCTCATCCACCTTTTTGGTTTTGCCATCTGGTTAAATGACAGACAGGCTTGCAAAAACTACTTATATATAAACCAGTGGAATGGAGAACCACCAGGTTCTCCTGGCGCCCCCTGCACAGGAGAGCTCATCAGCTCTCTCTAACTTAGCCAGCTGCTGGTTTCTACAAAACTATCAGGAAATCAATATCCTTGAATCTTCTGCCACTGCCATAGTTAACTAAAATTTGCCCAAAGTGTTCAAAAGCTGGGATATTTTAGCTGGGGAAAGGTGAGGGAGGTAAAGGGCTTCAATGTATGACCAGCTGGATGTGATACTGAGAAAGCAGGGAAGTCATGTTGGACATTTCTTAGCTGTCCTATCTTTGTCTGACCCAGATAAAAGGAAGAGCTCCCTAAATACTCTAAGAAAGAAGCCTCAGTCCTGGTAGTGTTTTTCAAAGCTGCCCTACATTCTATCCCCAGAAGTCAGAAATGCTCTGTGGCCCCAAGTACCACCATGACCCAGGTGAAGACTCTGGCTGCTATAGCCTGCTAAAGGCATTTGCAAGGGACAAGTTGTTAAGAAGTGAGCAAAGTTCTGGAAAACAGCAGCTCTTCCTTTCAAATGTGAGTTAAGATCAATGTGCTGCTCCCTCTGCACACTTTGCCTGTATAGTTAAGTTTCCTAATTCCAATAGTGATGCCATCAACCTTGTCTCCAGTAATGGTGAAAATGTTGCCCCCATCAATCTGTTTGTTTTCTCCTTGGCCACATTTGGCAGCCAAGGGTTGATTACCAGGCTGTTTCTTTCCTAAGTGGGTCAATATCAATGCTGATAAAAAGCATTCCCTTTACAAAGCAAACCAGTTTAAATTCCAATTTATTATAACTGTAATAAATCCCTAAGTTTTAAAAAAGCTCCTAAAGTAATGTACATAAAATGCCATGATTTCAGAGTGCTCATTCTTGCTGTTTTAAGTTCTAGTCACTGAGTGAGTGGCATCACTAGCTCAGTACCTGGAGTCAGCATATGGAGGTGATTTAAAATAAAAATTAGGAGGGGGGAACATGAATTAGAAAAAGTAATTGATACTATCTGGAGCTGTTTGTCAATAGAGAATGGATTTTTTTTTTTTTTTTTTTTTGTCTAGATCCAATGGAACTGATGGTCCTTATGTTCCTCGAGAGTGTTATGGCCAAACTGGTAAGTGAATAATTTAATTGTATTTCTTAAAAGTGTGAGGGGCTGACAAGTAGTGACATTAAACCTAATGTGGGGAATTACATGTATTCTGAGAATGAGAAAATTCTGGGGGTGTCAGTAAGACATAAAATTAATTGTATTTTCCTTTAAGTAAGACCAAAGCTGTTCTTTCTGAGATAAAGAGTAATCAGACCAAATTACCATTAACAGTGGATCCCTGTGCAGCTTTAGTGAGGTAAGTTATCCATGTCATAGTCTCATTTACTGGAGAGTATTGTCATTGTTTTAGTTCCCTTCAAATGTTACATATTTTATTGATGAACAAATGTGTTCTTGTTCACTGTTTTAAAGCTGATGTGTGCCATCATTTTAATGGCACACATCAGCTTTGGTCCCTCTGAATGACAGCTTACAGAGACCAGAAATTACCTGGATGTAGGAATTTAAAGCTACAGCTAATGGCAACTTTTCACTGGTGGCACTTGGTGTCTTTTAGAGCTCTCCTGAAACTGCTCTCGTTCATGCAGATGGATAGACTCAGCATCTGGCTGGCTGAAGGAAGTTCTACAGGGTGTATTGTGACAGGTCTGAATCAGAGTACTGTATATTGACATGGTTAGTGGGACATTTACTGTAGAAATGAATGTGTTTGATTCCAATCAAATAATTTCAGAAAAATAAGTTCTTGGAACACTAAAGAATATAACAGGTTAGAAAAGTTATCATTAAGAAAATGTTATTTATAGTAGAGGACAAGGAAGGCCCCACAGAAGTGTCTGATAAACCCAACTCAGTTACCATCAAGAGATGGAAATCCCTTTGTTCTATTGTTTTCACACTTTCCCCCCCTCCATATGCTGCATTTGTATTAATAAACTAAGCAGTGTTTTTTTCACAATATGCCACTGCTGATCTTGAAAAGAAGTACACCAGGCGTTCAAGCGAAGACAAACCTGTGAGGCAAATCTGCTCGATTTCAGCACTGGCATAATCTGAAAACAAAGAATTGCAGAGTTTTATCCTTCCAGAGATAAAGACATTATGTCTGAAACCTGGGAAATTGTCCTTAAAGCTTAAAAGGAGGGACTGAAATCCAGCCACCCTCACAATTTTAAATCCGTCCTTTAAAATCGCTATCGGAGACCAAATGTGGGTTTTTTCTGTTGGATCCTGCTGTGAAGTGACAGTACTGCATTTGTCCTACCATCATTATTATCTTAGTCCATGATCTGCTGTGATATCATATTACTTCTGTGTAACATACAGCAGAAGGTCAGAGTGGACTGACAAAATCCCACCGGTACGTAACCACTGGCAGCACTGCTGTGGAAATTCAGAAACATCCCCACTGGGGTTTCTCTCTTTCCTTCCTAACTTTGCTATAAGAAAACAGCTCATGAAAACTAAGTTTTCACTAAGTTCTAAGTAAAATAAATTGCTGAATATCTCCAAAATACTCCTACTTGTTGACAATCTTCCTAGCAGAATTGTAAAATACTTTTCTAAAGAGCTAAAGCATGTTCTTTTGCAATAGTTTCAGTATTACAGATCTCTCGTTTTCTCTTGCTTGTTAATTTGACTTGCTCAGAGACTATGGAACTCCCTTCCTGTTTCCCCCCAAGACCTTTAGTCACTTCCTGTCTCTAAATAAAAACTCCTTTCATTTGTTCCTAATTGATGATAGAAACTCTTCCAAGAATTCTGATAAAATGAGCCAAATTATATATAGATTTTTCCTTCTTGTAATGACCAAAAATCCCCGTAGTTAAATATGTCAGCTCTACATCTCTAAATATTGTCTATACTCAGAATTTGATGAATTTTTAAAGGTACCTTGTTGCCTTAAGTAATAGAATAATGGAATTTAAAAAAATCCATTTTCTTATTTAACCAAGAGGTACAAAAAGTAGATTTGCTGGTGAAATTATAAAGACCTTATTTAATCAAAGTATTTTATTTGCTATGTCACCATTCTGCTGCTGCTGTAGCATCCCTTATATCACCGTAAAAGGGGCTGACTTGAAAAGATAAATGGATAATTTGTCAATGAATGCCCAAGATCTTAGGGGCAAAGAATGGCATCTAAAGACCTCACAGTTTGTCAAGGGTTTATTCACCGGCTAGAAACATTTATCTCAATCAGAATAACAATGTTGCCCTCAATGTGTTTACAAAAATACTTTGCACATTTATTTTGGTAATTTCTGGTAGTGATATGGAATATTGATGTCTTTGTACATTCTTGAAAAAAAAAATCTCATCTGGAATTTCCTGTGCCTGATCTGAGACTGGATTGGATGCAGGGAAAAGCTGCTTGGAGGAGCAGGGGGAAGGGTGACAGCACAGCTTCTCTAGTGTTAGCTTTGGAAAGCAAGGACTGGGAAAAGTGTATTCTTAGGAATTAAAATTCAGATAAAATAACAATTTAAAGGGAAAAGTTGTAAGAGGCTGTACCTTGGCCTTGAGCAAATTAGGACTGGAAGCTGAAAGGTCTCATCATTTAGAAAATGGGGTATCTTAGAATGGTCTTCCCAATACTAATAGCAGCACAAATATTTGGGTTCAGACTGTTCATGCAAAGAACACGATTTGTTTTCCTGAGGCAAGAGAGGACTCAGTGCTGGGACCCCTTGGAGCCCCTCTATTCACTTGTTGCCATCCCATTTTTTAGACAGTGACTGAAGCTGGTGATTGAACCCCAGTTTCCAGCCAGAAGCTCTCTGCAGTGTGAGATGCAGCTGCCCCTCAGTCCCTCCGTGTGCTCAGGTGCACTGAGCTGATCCCACTCAGGAGCGTCTCCTGCTCCAGGCTGTCAGTCACTGCTTAATGGGACAGCTCACAAATGTCCCTCTCGCATCCATGGCACCCTACATGGCAGAAGGGAAGTGCCAGGAGAGATGCTTCTTTTTCTTATCTTCTCATGTCTCACTGAACTGGCAGCTGTTTGCTCTGAGTGTTTCCATGAACTAATCTCTTTAAATGGGAGAATAAATCACCTGTGGGTTAAAAACCCATAATAATGTTGGAGTAGTGTTAAATATAGAATTATAAGGCCTTTTGGTCTTATTGAGGCAGCTGTGTGGGTGGAAATTGCATCCAAATAGATGCTATTTTACTTAAATTAAGCGTTACCCTAAGGGCTTTGGCCAACGTTCCATCTCTGAACAGAAAGCTGGAGACCACACCAGAGTCTAACACGAGGAGGTGCCAAGTTTTCTTCTACTCTCCCTCTCCTCTTTCCTTACTTCTTTCCATTCCTCTTTTTTTCCCCTCCCTTTCCTCTTTCCTTAAATTTCTTCTTCCCTTTTCCTTCCCTCCTTCCTTTCTCTTACTCCTTTTTCCTTTCATTTTTTTTCCTCTTTCCTTCTTCCTTTCTTTCCTTTTTCCCTCTTTCCTTTCCTCCCTTTTCCTCTTCCTTTCCCTTTCTCCTTTTTCCTTTCATTTCTCTCCTTTCACTTTTCTTATCCTTTCCATTCTTTCCCGCAGAAGTCACACAATTTAAATTCATACTCTAAAGAGATGATGTCTGTTCATGGGACCGCCTTACACTAGCACAGGTGGTTAAACAGGTTTATCTCTTCTGACAATGTCTCCTCTCTGTTTTTTTTTTTCAGACACGGGAAGGTTTTTGCATCATGTTTTGGTTAAAACTTCAATTCCCATCGCAGGAAGGCGCTGGCTGACTCCACTTCCCGCCCCAGGGGGATATGCCTGCGGTGATCGGCGCGATGCCCAAGGAACGAGATCGGGACCGGGACGGCGCCTCACCCTTCCCTGGCCCCGCAGTGCTGCGCCGCCCGGGATGCCGCGGGATCCTTCGGTCACATCCAGGGTGAGAGAAGCCGGGCTAGGGCGGATCGGTGCCCTGCGCCATCCGTACCCGGGAGCCCAGCCATCCCCACCTCTTTCTGGAAATTGCTGAGGGTTTCTGCCGCTGTTTAAAACAACAAAAAAAAAGAGAGAATGGCACTATTCCTGGCAGAGGAGAGCGACGAATCAGGCCATGCGCTCCCAGGCTGTCTGTCACGGGGGGGATGGAGGGGCCCCGTATCCTTTACCGCCCCACCCGCGTTCTCCGCGCTGAACTTTACCCGACTTGTCAGCCCAGCTCCGCCAGCACGCGGGCCCGCCCATTGATGTATATTCATAAAGAACCACGCCCGAGCCTGCTCCTCATTGGCTGCTTCTTGCTCTCTCCCTCTCCCATTGGCTGGCACCGCCGCCGCTCCGGGCGCGGGGCGGGGCGGCCGCGCCCGCGCCTCCCGGGCGGTGACTCACAGGGCGTGGAGTGCGGGTCCCGCAGCGGCGGCGGCAGCGCAGCCCGCGCCTCCCCCCGCTCCCGCACTACTCATTGTTCCGCCCGCTCCAGGCACCATGGACGAGCTGGACCAGTCGCCCCTGGTCTCCTCCTCCTCCGGGCCAGCCCGGCCGCAGCAGCCACAGTTTAACTACCAGTTTGTGCTCGACGACGAGAAGGAGGAGGAAGAGGAGGAAGAGGAAGACGACGACGAAGACTTCGACGAGCAGCTGGAGGTGATGGAGAGGAAGCCTGCCGCGGCTCCTGCCGCAGCCCCTCAGGAGCGGCCGCCACAGCTGCTGGACCTCGGTGGCCCCGCCGAGCCGCCCCGCCCTACTGCTCCGGAGCCGCCGCAGCCCGACTGGAGCCCCCGGGGAGCTGTGTCCTCTTCCTCCTCCTCTGCCACGACGCCGTCCCCCGCTCAGGAGCAGATCCCGGCCCCCGCCCGGCCCGCGCAACCCCAGCCGCCCAAGCCCGAGCCTGCTGTTGCCCCCCGGAGCAGAGGGTCCTCCTCCGGCTCAGCTGGTGAGTGCTCCCGCCCCGGGCCCGGGGAGGGCGGCAGCCGGCCGGGGAAGCCTCCACCCGAGCCGCTCCGGTTCTCGAGCCCCGCTGCCCCGCCGGGAGGTTCCCTTTGTCTGCCGGCCCTCGGCCGCCTCCTGCGGCATCGCTCCCTCCCCTCAGCCGCGCTCGGGCGCGGCCCCGCCGCAGCCCATGCTGGAGAAAGGGCTCCCCCTCCCCGTTCTTTCTTTTTTTTTTTTTTTTTCTATTTTTTTTTTATTGTAAATTCTTCTCTTTCCCTCCTCCTCCCCTCTGTGTTATGCTAATGGCAGGAGGGCGAAGCGCCGCCCCGCCGCCGCCTCGCACATGGGCAACCCGGGGGCGAGGCCGCCGCCGCCGCCGCCTGGCAACGGCCGCGTCGGGGGGGGCGGGGGTCGAGCCCGGCGTACCGGCCGAGTCCAGGGAGGTCGGCCGTGTCCGGGATGCCGTCTGAGCCCCGCGGTGACGGCCGTGCCCAGGGTACCGGGCGAGTCCCCAGGGACCGGCCGCGGCGTGCTTGCTGCTCCGGCC